TGGATCATGATATAACCTATTCATGTTAGCAGGGGATAATTGTAACTCTATTACTGCAGTGTACGGGACGTATGTGCTGTATATGTATTATGGATCATGATTTAACCTATTCATGTTAGCAGGGCAGAATTGTGAGCGCCTCCCACAAGCTGAGCACCGAGATGCGATGCAGCGATCCTGCCCAGCGCCGACTACAAGAGGCACCGCGTGAGGCTATGGGGATCGGAGTGGAACTGTGAGTGAGGGAAGCTGGGATGGGGCTGGCTGTAAATCTATTGCTATAGCGTACTGGACGTGTGTAATGTATATGTAGTACATATATACAGCACACACCTCCACTACACTACAGCAATAGAGTTACAATTCTCCCCTGCTAACATGAATAGGTTAAACCATGATCCATAGTACATAACATGTAGTTGTACTATGGATCATTTAAAGTCACCTGTCCCTTTAAGAAAAAGTATCGGTAATTGGTATCGGCAAGTACATGAGGGGGATGTACTTGGGCCTGAAAAAGTGGCATCAGGACATCCCTAAAAGCAACACTTCTGGAAGTGTCAGCCTTAGTTCCTTCCTGACTTCCACCACATGACTGGGCACAGTAGTGACGTGGAGGTCAGAGGGGGTAACCAGTGAGTGTGAAGTAAAGGTCTCATTTATTAAACCCAGTGAATAGTTATACTAAACTACCCACCAGTCAGGTTTTGGCTTTCTTGAGCAGCCCTAGACAGCTAGGAATGGATAGGTCATCCCAGTTCTTGTTTAGCTCCACAATGTATTATATTGTAGGGAATTATGCAACCAGCACTCTGAGTGTAGGATATCATCCATGTGTAGAAGAGATCAACATACTTGTACCTTACCTGGAACAGCAATTTGCATCCACGCCCATGTAAATCTGATGTGTAATATAAAGGAGACGTGGCATTATATAGCTGCTGTGTCTCTACTGAAGTGTAGGCTTTAAAGTGAAGTTGTATCCCATGATAAAGTTTTAAAGCCCTTCCTATAAGCAGATCCCCTAGTTTACCTGCTATTACCGTTACTAGCAAACACAGCTTGTGGTTAGAACACTTTCTAGTACACCACCAACTATGCTAGGTTCCATTTATATAAAAAATGGCTTGGATTCTCACCCAAATTAGCGGTCAAAGGTTGGGTCATGTCTGAGGTCTCCTTTTTTGTTTTGTTCCTGTCCGGCAACATGGGAGGTTCCTTCTTTCAGAGCCCACTTTGTTTCCTGATAACGTGGACTCGTCTCATTAGCTGGGCCCTTCAGATGAGTCCTCATACAGGCCTGAAGACTTTAAATAGCTGCAACATAAAGGCTCAACAGTTGGTGGGCCTGGACCTCCTCACCAGATCACTGGCCTCCACGACCAGACGAGGTGTTGGACAGACATGACAGTGAATGGGTGGGAGCAGGAGGTTTTGTGCCTGTGAAAGGTAGAGTTTATTTCACCACAAATTATCTTTAATTTGGAGTTTGTTACCAAGGGTGACTTCATGGCCAAGCCCTGCTCAGTGCCATTTGCTTGTCTTATTGACCAGTAAAGATATTCTGATTGGACAGTACATGAACCAACATAGCATACGAAGGAAAAGAAGGGTCTCACACCTCAGATCCAGTCATGAAGAAGCAAAATTATTTTATTCATTCATATATTAACCCTGTAGATTTGTTTTTGTGTCATTTCATGGTAAAATAAAAGCAGCGGTCTCGTTTCCTCCAGTACCTAACTAAGGTCGGGTAGTGAGCCAGGTCGGAGCATCTTATCTAGGTATCACAAGTCGTCCATAGTGAACTCTCCTGAAAACACAAACAAGCCTTCCCGTCTCTATATCAGAGAAGTTTCTACATCCCAATGAAAAAAACAAAACACAAATTTAGTAATGTCATGACAATTCCTGAACACCAGACATATAGGGTGGAGACATCCCCAAGCTGGTTACTACTCCAGACTTTCAACCAACAGACAACACATAGCTCCTGGGTGGACAGTCACTTCAAGTCCATTGCAATCTACAACACAACAGAAAGGTGATTATGTTTTTGTTTTTTTTACAGCAGGGCAAGAAGTGATTCACTTTTTAAATAGTTCCAATAACCCATCTCATTCCTTGTGCATGCTCCCGACTGTTAAAGCTGAACACCAGGCAAACCGCTCAATACGTACTGGAGGTATCTACACTGACTTATCTATTAAAGGATTTGGCTGCCAGACAAATGGGAACTATAATTCCAATAAAATGTTGAGCTGTAAGCAATAAATTGTTCTCCCCAGGAGGACTTTGCTGGGTTGTCCATCCGGCTAGTGCACAGAACCCCCAGACTGTCTAGTGATAGGACCAAAACATCTTCTGGTTCCATGGCCCCTGCCTCTCCCCATGTTGCCTGTTATTGCAGTCAGCACAGGGGATGTCATTACTGAACCTGCCTCCCAAACTCCACTGACATCAGGTGAAGACAGACTGTGCAGGGTGGGGATCGTATAGTAGACACTCGCATCCAGTCATTGCAGCACCTCTTGTGATGGTAGGGATGGAACTGGCTGTGTTGAGGGAGTCTAGGCTCAGCATGGGGAGCACTATGGCATAGACTGAGCACATAAATGGGAGCAGAAATACATGGCGGGGCCTCTGATTAACACTATAGGGGCACAGTGTAAATCTCATGAGGGTGCTATTTCAGTATAAGGGAACTGACTGGGGACATGTGGTGAACTAATTGGGGCATTGGGTGTGCGGCACTTTTTGGGGCCACTGTCTAAGGAATCCTTGGTCGTGGGGAGTCACTATGGGGGTACCCCAGCTAAAAAGAAAGTCTAGGGTGAATACTGTTAGTTACTATGAGGCAGCAATCAGCCCCTGAAACAATCCGGTTTCCACATGCACATCTACTGATCAAGGTCTACAAAGCAGGGTTTCCTTGCAGTGCCCTTCAGAGCTTTGAGCCCCTTTACTACATGTTACAGAGATCTGACCTGCCTCTGCATCCATTTGTAGTAATAAAATAATAATAAACACACAACCCAATTTAACATTTACAGACGTGAATTGGCGTTACTACAGACTATCCTCATTGCCAAAAGGTAAAACTTGAACATTTCCCTTTGAGGCGCAGTGCCCAATAGAGCAAACCCAGTAATGGATCCGATTTCCAATATTTGTGATATCACTGCCCTGCTCTGTAATATCAAATATGGACGTGACATTTCATATAATGTATTGTACACTCCATATAATCAACATGTTTTTGGCTTTGAAAGGTTAAACCTCAAGGCCTGCAGACCTAGGCTGAAGGCTCTTCACATTGACATGTCCTTCCACAAGAACAGGTGCGGGTACTAACACGATACCGCCTGTGTGGATATCCAAGACTGTGCTTCACAACATGCGCTCTGTCCAACTTGACACCATGCAACACCAATATACCTACATTTCATACAAGATGGGGAAACTAATCCTCAAGGGCTTGTTAACACAGTGCAATGAGGTTGTATCTGACAGGAACCAGAGTTCACTGGTTTCTGTGTACCATTGCCCTGTGTATTGTGTTGTTACAGAAAATAGAGAAATACGTCAGATGCCATTGCTAACGTCCCTATGAAAAGGCCATCATGCTGATCCTTGAGCTTCAGTGCTTTGTGATTCAACTTACTGCCGTCTGTTTCATATTTGTGACTTAGTACTGAAGCCAAAAGAGGAGCGGGACAACTATAGAGGATACTGCACCGGTTGCAGGAAAGTCCACAATGCCATCTAATGGATTTCTCTCATCAACTCGAGTTTCTTTCAAAGGGTCAGTCCACACAAAATGGATACTTCAGTATCAGGAGCTGAATCGCTCAACAACTTCCTAACTTATTTATGCGGTTGGATCTCTGCCGCAGAGTTCCCACTTCCTGAACTTCCGTATCCTCCTTAATAGCCTTCCTAGTGAGCACCAAAATGTGCCGTAACCTGCTAGGCCAATTTCAATCAGCTCCTGCTATTAGGAGCCTGGCTTGTCCCCTACCACCTCCTATGCCTTACCTTTGGCCAGGATGCCCATTATAGTGATGGACCAATAGTGAGGAGGGGACAGACTCTTGACCAGGAATGATGGTTGAAAACTGCAGACCAGGGTCCAGGTTTCCGGGGTTTTTGAAGTGGTCAGCAGGAAAAGGAAACCAACGTTTCGCCCCCCGAGAGGTGTCTGCTATGGCATATCACTGACAAAAACAGGTATTGGGTAGTGTGACCCTTTAAAGAAGCCCCCCAATTTGACAAAAACAAGACAGGAGTTTAAATTAGGCTAAAAGTTTGAGTCCTAAAGGAAGTTAGTTATCCGTCATAGTCAAGTCCCCCACCAGAGCTGGAGGTGGACTTCTGGAGGTGGAGCTAGTTCCAGGGCGGACTACACCTCTTTCATATCCCACATATTAAAGTGCTGGTACCGGAATAGGCACCGCTTCGGGGAATTTGGACAACAGAAGCCTCCAGCAATAAATGGGAGCCCAGGCTGCATCAGGTAACACCTGCCCTTACAGGTTCTCTTCAAGGATGGGGGTAACAGTCTATTGTTTCACATCCACCTTTGAAAATGTCATGTTTCAAATAATAATCCCCTCTACAGATCTAATACATGGTGGCCTCCTTGCCCCATCCTTTGTCTCAATCTCGCTGGCACTGCCATAGAGACCGAAACTCTTGCAGCTTCCCATTAAGCCTATTGTTCATAAAGGTCATGGGGTGACTCTTTATGGCGTAATATGCTCCTGTTACGCAAGGCCTTTCTGGAGAAATTGGGGGCCCCTGACAATAAGCCTATCTGATACCACCCAGTAAGTAATACCGCTTAGGCCCTAATCACGGCCAATCCGTGTGGTACTGAGAACGGGATTAAGCCTGATTAAAGGTATTGGTGAATTGATACAGAATACAGAACAGAAGCTTTGTTGGTTTATCCCACAGAGTAATTCTGTACAACAGTCAGAAGTCACTTTTTTGTTTTGTTTTCACAGTTCTATCGTCCGTACATGCCAAAGACCAAAAAGCTGAAGAACACGGTGACCCCGCACAGGGAGACCGTGGCGGGGGCAGTGAAAAACTGGCGGTAGTTGATCCGGAAATACCAGATCAGTGCCAGCATGACCACAAAGATTGGTATCATCAGGTTCCCAAGGGGTGGGGTGAGGCCGGTGTGCTCGGTTGACGTGCCGACAGATTCGGGGCCTACCGGGGAGGAGGAGACGGTTGCCTGTGAGCGGTGGCAGTGGATGACGCAGTTGTCTGCGATATGGAGGGAGCGCAAGGTCTGCGAAGAGTCCTGCAGGAGCTGTCCTTGGTAAATCAGCTTCATCTGAGGTTCTTGACCTGGGAAATATTTACTGGAGTAAAAGAAAAGTAAGACGGGGAAGAAATTGGAGAGTGAAAAGAGGAGGTGACAACAAATATGCAAACACATGAGAGACACAAATCTCCATAAACAAATGATATATTATATTCTCTCAATACAGTTCTTTTCTAACAAGTCCAATCATTTGTCCACCCTCAACAGTAGCCAACAAGTGATGCCAGAGTCCACTTATGGATACAACATTGTTGACCGATATCTGCCAATAAGTGATGGGAGACAGACAGCTAACAAAGTACACCTGTGGCCAGGCAATGGGATTTCTCATATTTACATATTCTGTCCAAGCTGTAAATGAGCTTTAAAACGAGCCCTCCCTCCCTAACTAACCTTGGTAGCAGCAGGTACTGCGGATCAATTCATCCTCAATATTCACAGCAGAAGCAATTAAGTCATTAAAGTCATTCTCTCAGAGGTGGGCAAACTAATATGGAATTCAGGAGCCAGTCTGTCCGATCCAGGAGTCAGCAGGATTTTATTTTAGGAGCCAGCTCCATCAATCACAGCTGTAATTATTAAGGAGCATTGGCTACCTGGCTCCTGGGGTTTGTCTAGCCCTGGCTTAGCTTACCCTGCACCTCCCTCCCAGCAATGACTCAGCAGCTCAGTTACCCCCCTACCAAACAATGACTCAGAAGCTCAGATAACCCTGCTCCCCCCTCCTAGAGCTCCTGTGTTTGCAGCATAGGTTGGAAGGCTGCTGAGCCACTACTGGGGCTTGTGGGGCAGAGTGAGCTGTGCTGCGGAGTCATTACTAGAAGAGAGAATGGTGGCGGAGCTGCTAAAGAATTGCTGGGAGGTGGGAGTATGGCAAAGCTTAGCTGCCGAGTAATTACTAAGGAAAAGCATTGTTGAAGGCTTAACAACTATAGCACTGCTGCTGTAAAATCTGAGGAAGCATTTCTCCATAGTGTCTTCAGCTACAGAGGTCAGTGAGGGCTTGTTTCGAGTATTGAAGATATGAAAGTCCATAGCCTGGTCCCAAGTTTTTATCTAGAAATGACTTTCACAGTCTGACCTGCCAACGCACTTCATAAATACAAAACCTGAAGAGAGTTAAAAGTTGGTAAATTGCCAGTGATATGCCCTAGCAGGCACGTTCCCCCAGTGACTAAACATTAGTTACCATTTCCTGCTGAGCACCCGGAACCCCAGGGCACCCTGGTGTGCAATTTGTATCCCGCATCTCTGGTCCCTTCCTACACCTCACTATACTCCATCACTACGATGGGCATCCTGGCCAAAAGTGAAGTGCAGGAGGTGGTACTAAGGGACAAGGCTGACTCTTGATAGCAAAAGCTGGTTGAAATTGGCCTACCAGGTTGCCTTAGATTTTGGGGTTCCCAAGCTGCTCAGGGGGTAAGCTAAAACGAACCTGTACACTCTCGGAGCAATAATGACCCTTTACCAGGTTTCCCCTGATTTCAGGTAGACTTTAGAGCTTACGTTTAACCTGGTTATATTTTGCCTTTTCTGGTCCCGACCTACCCACCCATCAACATGATGATGACATTTTTATATAAAATATACTTTATTTTAGGCGCAGTGATGTCATCACTAGGTTTCGGTTTCACTATCCAATGTAGTCATGGATAGTGGGAAGGGCCAGCAGGGTGCTGTACAAGGTTTCCTTAAAACAGGGGTCTCAAAACTCTTTCCTCCAGCTGTGGTGGAACTACAAATCCCATGAGGCATTACAAGATTCTCACAGCCACAGACATGACTCCTGAAGAGAGATGCATCATGGGATTTGTAGTTTCACCACAGCTAGAGGGCCGGAGGTGTGAGACCCCTGCCTTAAAACATCACAGCACCCTGCCTCAATACTCTTCCCAAGAGCGCTCAGCCCTGATACAAGCAGTGGGCAGGCTCTTGGGAGGAGTTATGCAAATATCAAAATGGGTGGCTGTCAGTGTAGAGTAGTGAAACAACGAAAGAAGGAGCGCTACAACCCTGGAATACTGGGTGTTTAACAGTTAAACAGTTAAAAGATATAGTGTAACTGTTGCACGATCTCAGAACGACTTCTGGCTTGACAAAGAGGTACAGAGCCTCGAAACGCGTAGCCACAACGACCACTCCACGGACCGCAAGGTCCCCCAGCCTGTAGCTTACTTTTTAACCTCTTGCATAGCGACCACTGCTCCACTGTCAGAACGGTGTACAGCGGTGCTCCTGCTCCCGATCAGCCGACGAGTGGCAGCCTGGCCAGCTGAGCTCTCATTGCACCTGACGGTGAGCGTCCCACTACACGCACAGTGTACTTCGCCTCAACTGGTCATCCGGCCACAAGATTCACCTTCCAACATCCATGGACTGAACAGAAGCCCCACAGCCCGGAGCTCACTCCCACACAGACCAGCCACAGATTCCGCCCTGCGAGCCGTGCTGACAATTAACGGCAAGATACCACCTCGTCCGTCCAAAAGTGAGTCTGCATCAATAGTTACACTATATCTTTTAACTGTTTAACTGTTAAACACCCAGTATTCCAGGGTTGTAGCGCTCCTTCTTTCGTTGTTTCACATTGTCTACAGGGTTCCTCTCCCTGATTTAGGAGCTCGCTCACCCACACCCGGTATTTAAAGTTTTTTATTTTTATTTATTTAATTATATATATATAAAATAAAAAAAGTTTTTAAAAAAAAGTTTTTTTAAGAAAGTGCTTTTAAAGTTTTTTTTAAAGCTATTTAAAGGTTTTTCCATACTGTCCACACCTGTTGTGCGCTCGCCACTCCCATTGTTTTTATGAGTGTAGAGTAGTGAGCATTCCTAAACGTACAGTACTTGCATGCAGACCATCCTAGGTATCACCCACATGTGAGCTTATGACTGAGCCTTGTTATCACCTCTCCAAGGTATGGCTGGACAAGGGCTAGGTAGTCAAGACTCCAATTCGGTTCACTGAATCCTAAATTCTACTTTGACTATTTCTGATAAATACGACTCTTCCAGATCGAACTTTCTTACCTTTTCAGAGTTCCGATGGTATCATCTGGCCTCACCAAGGCAACTTCCTCAGTTTCATTCAGGAATTTCAGCCGCACGGTGATTAGTTCTTCCTCAGGCTGTGCCTGCTCCTGGCCTTTGCCTGCTCTCTTCCTCCATTCATGATCCTGCTGCTTTGTGGCACTATCCCGCTCCGTCTCTTTCTCTTCTGGTGGGACTTTCTGTCCTGCAACTTCCTGAGAACTGTCCACTCCATCAACCTCTCCCTCTGCTAGGTCTTCATCGGCTTCGCTTATAGCGTGCACAGGCTGGCCGCGCTTAGGAACTCCTTGGATATCGAGCATCTGGTCAAGACTAGCGTTTTCACTGCCAGCGCCCTGTTCTCCAGCTTGGCCTTGCTCCCCTTCTTCTGGCTTCTCCACTTGGGGCTCCACAGTCCTCTGCACTTCAGGATTTGGGGGCACCGGGTTGCTGAGGCCCAGAAGAGGTTCTCTACGTCCAGCGGGCATTAGGCTGCCCAGTAGGGGATCGCTGCCCTCGGCCACGTAGGTTGATAGCCATGCCAGAACGAGGGCCAAGAGCAGGATAAAGAGGCCCACTGCAACGGTCACCTCATCGCCAAGGCCCTCTATCATGGTTGGCGGGGGCGACTCCATGCCCATTTTCTGCAGAAAAACAAGAAACATCAATTAAAGCAGGGGTGGATACATTCATATAGAGTTCAGGAGCCGGTCTGTCCAATCCAGCCCCCAAAGCAGTTGCAAATAGGAGGCGAGATTATAATCACCTCTTCAGTGGCCTTTGACTTCTATATTTGCTCCAATGACGTGTTACAGCCTCAGGAAGAATCTTTAAACACTGATATTTCCAGTGTGCACCAAAATGTCTATGGAAACTCAGGTATTACCTTGTAAACGTAGCAGTGACATCATCACATAGCTTATGCAGAGAGCAGAGCTGTGGGAGGGACCCAGCAGGTCCTCCATAGTGCTATGTGATAACACATTGAAGGTGACGGGTTCTCTTTAAGGTGACATTAGGGGTCTATTAGACGCCTAATATCACCTTGGCAGTCCATTGAAGCTGATCAAGCGCAGATCTCTAGCCAGGGAGGAGGGCTCAGAAACCGGAAGTGCTCCAATCATCGTCTCTTCTGGTTTCATTCAGTAGAGAGGAACTCAGCGAATGGATGTTCACTGGTCTCTCTCTCTGCTACCCGCCAACACGTGGGATGTTGTTCCTGGGCCTGCAGAGGGGCCCATGAAGCAAGGCAGGGGGTGTCAGGCACATGTTTACTGGCCCCTGCAAGGCTTGTCAGCCACCACAATCACTTCCAGTGTAAAGCCAACAGTCAGCTATACACATGTAACCAGACTATAGCTATGGGCTACAGCCGCCGGGAGTCTGTTTACATGGGCCCGCTGCCGGAGACATGTGGCATATGCCGCTGGCAACCCCCTTAACTCCAGTTTGGGGAAGGTAAACACGGATCATACTAGGATGCTTCCGATCCAAATATATCTCAATGCTCACTCAAATGTAACAAAGTTCTCCAAGCAAGCTCACTGACTCTGGTAAGGCGGCTCCAACAGCCTAACAGGTCTCCCCCTAGTAGGGCACCTAGGACGTTTACCGAGTGGGTGAAAGAGTCTGAAGGAAAAACAGCCAACACGTTTCAGGGGCAACAATACTCCCCCTTCATCAGGGCTTCTGTGGGGACGTAGAGCGGAACTACAACCTCCTATCTTTACAGCCATGGAAGACGCCATCTTAGCCTCGTTTAGATTGCAGTTGCCGTGGTGCTGCACACGTGATCAGCTATGACAACGCCCATTGGCGGGCCTAAAAGTTCGGACGAGAGGTGAAATAAGCACACTGACATCCTTGACACTTGCCTTAGAAGTAACTATCTTGGGAGACATTCAATTGGTGGGTCATGTTCCTTCTTTAAAAGAAGTCTGACCCAACGTCGTGTTCTTAGTTGGGGAACCTAAATGTATTTTGGAGATTTATCTCCTAAGGTTACTGTCACTTTAAGGCAGAATAATGAGCGTTATATGTGCACAGAGCCCAACAACACGTGAATGTGAGATCCTGTATACACGATATTGTATACCACGGGGATGCCCATACCCCCTGCATACAGGACATTATATACCACAGGGACACTCATACCCCCTGTATACAGGACATTATATACGACGGGGACACTCATACCCCCTGTATACAGGACACTATATGCAACGGGGACACTCATACTTCCTGTATACAGGACAATATATACAATGGGGACACTCATACTCCCTGTATACAGGACACTATATACAACGGGGACACTCATACTCCCTGTATACAGGACATTATACAACACGGGGACACTCATACCCCTTGTATACAGGACATTATACAACACGGGGACACTCATACCCCCTGTATACAGGACAATATATACAATGGGGACACTCATACCCCTGTATACAGGACACTATATACCACGGGGACACTCATACTTCCTGTATACAGGACAATATATACAATGGGGACACTCATACTCCCTGTATACAGGACAATATATACAATGGGGACACTCATACTCCCTGTATACAGGACACTATATACAACGGGGACACTCATACTCCCTGTATACAGGACATTATACAACACGGGGACACTCATACCCCTTGTATACAGGACATTATACAACACGGGGACACTCATACCCCCTGTATACAGGACAATATATACAATGGGGACACTCATACCCCTGTATACAGGACACTATATACAACGGGGACACTCATACCCCTTGTATACAGGACATTATACAACACGGGGACACTCATACCCCCTGTATACAGGACAATATATACAATGGGGACACTCATACCCCTGTATACATGACATTATATACCACAGGAATACAATGACACTCATATACAACACCATGGTATATGGTTACATCACAGCCCACACAGACTAGGAGGGGGCGTGGTGACGTCACAGCAGGACACAGATGTCACTCACCGCCAGCCGCCGCTGCGATCCTGTCAGCCCCAAATCCGGGTCACCAGGGCCCACCCGACACAGGAAGAGCTGACGTCACACGGACCGCGACCAAGGAGGCGGGCTTGAGTGACGTGTTGGTGATGCCACCGGACAGGTCCAGGATTGTACTGCGCATGCGTGTTCCCATATCACCTGCCTGAAAGCGAGCACATGTGACGTCACCCTATAGGCGAGTACCGGAGGCCGCCCAGTCATGTGACGCATGAGTGTAATGAGAAGGAGGGGGCGGTCTGGTCTCAGTGCAGTTCTGGGAGAATAGCAAGTGTCAGCAGGTACACTGCTGAGGGCGCCATCATATACTGGAAACCAGTATGACGGGTTTATTTTCAGGTACATAATATAAATAGTCTTGCTGCCTACAAGGCCTCTGCAGCCTGAGCACATACATTTAAACCAAAACTAGACAACCTGGCGCTCTAGCTGTGGTGAAACTACAAATCCCAGCATGCATCTGTCACTGGCTGTAATTCCTGCAATGTCTCATGGGATTTGTAGTTCATACACGGATAGTCACTGCACTTTGGATGGTGGAGGTGCCATTGGCTCTTAATGCTGATATCTGCTGGTTGGTCACATGACATCCTAGGGTCCTTGTGTCCTTCCTCTTCTACTCCAGTGGTTTAATGATTTACGGCAGGGGTAAGCAACCTTGGCACTACAAAATCCATCATGCCTCTGGGGGTCATGCCCATGGCTGTAATAGTCTTGCAATGCCTTATGCGACTTGTAGTTCCACCACAGCTGGAGTGTTGAGGTTTCCTACCCCTGATTTACAGCAAATTACCCAGTTACTGGATTATGATGCGCTAAAGCCTCACTCACACAGAATGCCCCGAGAATCTGTGGATTCCTGTGGCTGGAATGACAGGTGCTTGAGAACTGCTGTGGCTGATCAGCCTGTACAAAGCAATGACATATGTAAATATCACAGTTGAGACTATTTTCAGTGGGGGGCCAGTAGCCCTATCTTAATTTTGGTTGCCCCCGTCTACCTGACATCTTGTGTCCGGGTTTCTGCTGTCATTAAACCCGAACACAGCATTCAAAACCCGGAGTGTCTGGGTGAATCCTGGACAGGTGGCAACCTTAGCAGCTCTAGTCCACCTGTCATTGCTTTGTACAGGTTGAAAGGCCACAGCTGCCCGCAGCCGCCTGTCCATCCAGCAACAGGAACTCGCATGTGGGCACTAAAGCCCCGTGTGCATGAGGCCCGAACACAAAGTGACCAATCAGATTAAAAACACAACTACGGCCAAAACTTTTTTGGGAGAGAGGAGAAGGGGTTAAACCCCTGTCAAGTGTTCATTGCTTCCTTTTGAGATTTCCCCTTACTTCCTGTTGTGTCACCAGGGCAGAAAGTGAGGAAAATCCCTCCAAGGCAGACACAGATGCAATAAAAGATCGGAACATAACATGCAGAAATTGTTTTATTTGTAATGGCAGACATTTCTAGGTGCAAAAACCTGGCACTTTCTTTAGAAATTCAGGACGTTTGACAGTTCTGGGTCCCCTAGAGTGCACTGTAGCTCCGACCTGTGAAGTAGGGGTGTGACAGCTTGCAGCATAGAGGTAAATTAGCAACTGTCCTCCTGCCAAGGAACTGACATGTAGACCTGTATGAGCTGTGACACCCCCTTTCCCATACTACCACCACTAGAGGAGGTGCAGAGATTTCTGTATATGCAAGCGTACAATACGCGTCATGTTTGGAACAATTTTATTTTTTATAAGCACTATGAATTCAAAGTACCGTACTCACATTCTAAATCAATCCTAAAATTCTAGGCACTGCGGTGTCCATGGCTCTGTCTGGCTTTCCACAGCGAGGTATAACAGGGACATCTGCTGGCTAAATAGGAGAACTACACTACAATGTAATACAAGGCACATGTATGTATTATTAGCATTATTATTGTTCAGGATTTAGATGGATAAAACACAACTTTGTATTCTTCAAAAAGTCATGAAATAATTCCCTCATTTAGTCCTAAATCTGTCTTCATATCGAGATGCTACATGGGTGGGAAGCGGAAGCTTTTAATGGCAAACTTCAATTGTAAAATCCCTATCAGTCGCTGGCTAGTGATAAAAATCCTTATCAGAAAAGTGAAGGTGCAACTGATCTGCGTGCTTGTTCTGGCTCAGTGAGTTACAAAGCCATTGATTTAGTATTATAGCCCGGCCTCTAGCATTTGCAGGAGAGATCAGCAATGGCGGCCTCCGTATTTCTTCACTTTACAGGAAATGGAGAGCTTAACCTGACTGGTGTTCAAAGGGAAGAAGCAGAGCAACACTCTCCTTCAAGTGATTGTGATGCTAAATGAAATACTGGAAACAAAGGCTGCCCTATAAAGACAAGATCTCATACTTACCTATCGTGCTGCCCGCAACCAGTGCTGGATTTCTCACAAGGCCAACCAAAGTCCGGCGGCCTTGGGGCAGCAGGGAGTAGTAGAGGGGCAGCAGGGGTGTGGAATTCCTATCTGCCGACGCCTGGGACATGCAGTTCTGGGCGCCGGGCGGGTAGCTGTTTTCTACATTTAGCCCTGCTTTGGGCAAGCAGAACTAAATGTACAGCGGGGAAGCCGCCGCTTGTTTTGTACACGTGAACTTGGCGATGTCGCCGAGATTTTTTGTATGCAGCCTGCATACAGGGGGCGCATTCAGGAACCTGGCATTGGGGCAGCAGAGAGTAAATCTGGCCCTGCCCACAACATTGGTTTTCACTTCACCAGCTACAGTGCCCTGAGAATCCTCATCATCGGACACACTTCCAGCATGCAAGTGCTATGGTTCCTTCCACAGGCCTGGGACTGCTGAACTGACTGTGCCCCCTGCAGCACCCACTGACCTATAAATGTCACTGCTGTGTCCTGTAGTACGGAATGAACCACAGAGCACAGCGGGGGGACCAGGCATTCAACACCACGAGTAGTATGTTGGGCGCAGATTTTCTTTGGACAACATAGCTCCATCGGAGAGCGAAGGATGGAAGCAGACCAGGTACGTATAAGATCTCTTCTTTGCAGGGCAGCCTTTTTTTTCTCTAATATTTAATCCTGCAACTGGGTCATTTAAGCTGTGCACAGTACAGCATAACAAGGATGGGTAGATCACAAGAGTGTGTGCACTGCTCTACAGATCTTTGACGAAAAATCCTACACGTGTTTGTTTTAGTTCTGTGGCTGGCATGAATTGCACTACACTAGATTTCATTTTACCGAAGCTGACCTGTAGTCAGAAAAAGACCCGTGGCTACCTTGCCTTCAAGTCAAAAAATGAAAAGAATGCTCAGAATGCGTAAGCCTTTCCTGAGAAAAAACACACAGTTCCAGAATTCTATGGCAGCAGGTTACATGACTGAATGCCTTGGTATGTGGTCACATGATGCTGTAGTGGGGAATCGACTACTGTAGTTGGCTGTACCTGAATTGTCACCCAAGACTGTGTGCAAATGCCTTGACATGACCAGCCACCCAGATACGTAGTTTAAGCAGCCAGGGTAGGAGTATTTCACCCTTTTAACTTTTATGACCTAAATTAAACATTTTTGATACTGCCCAGACTGGAGGCGGGGTTTGGAAGTCTAAAAGGTGTACTTGTCACTTAGGAACAACAAACACTCCAATCCCAGCTTACATGTCGTGTAGAAGCTCTGCATTGCGGGTGCCGTCATTAGCAAAGCCTTCAACTCTGCTGACATTAGTGCCATGGCATTGACATGTAACCTAGAACCAGGACCAAGTGACTGAGCACAGCAGTAGGCAGGTCTTTTTGGGCTGTAGGTCTGCTTAAGTGGTTCCAGGGGTTGTTTTTTGGACCACTTAATGCTTAAGACACTGTAAGAGAACCATATCTCGGTGCCTATTGGTCATTGGACTAATTGTACTATAGTTGGACACGGCCTTGAACTGACAAACTTGCCGTCACCTCTTCATTACCACTAGTTAGTGGATACTGCCCTCCGGCTGCAGAAGAAGATACGCCGTCAGCGCCGGGGGTAATTGAAGATCTAGAATCGCTTTGTAGCATAGGCTACCGTATCGACTTCTGACAGCACAGCGAGCGAGGTGCTGAAGGCGCCGGGGTTGATTTGAAACTTCTGAGATGGATTCATATAAAGTCTGATGTTCCTATAAAAAGAGGAGAAGCGGGTTTACCAATGGCCTTATATACTGCTATAGGTTAATAGAGCATTGGATCCTTACCTCCCACACTGAAGAGGGCACAGCTGCTATCCAGATGTCACCTGGCGGGATACGATCGTAGGCGTTGAGGAGGATCTCAAAGGTCAGGGGTGATGCCGCACAGTACCTCCACATCTGCGGATAGTGAATCTCTTTTTAAATGCATTATAAAAGCCATAAAACTAAAAACACAGTTAAAAAGATTCTTCATTTTCATGGCCTTTAATACATAGAAATACATTCTTAAAAGGGGGAATTCTCAGCATTAAAGGGTTAACCCATCCGAAATTGCTATTTTAGCTACGAGTGCACCTTGGCAATTTGACCTCTACAGGAATTCAGCAGTGCTGCGGATTGGCCAGCTGTGTGTGAATGTCAGTCACTAAGCCTCTTCCAGGGAGATCATGTGACCATATGACTAGGCACATGGTGCCATGACTGGTTGCCCACATTTAAAAAAAAAGACAAAGTAAAGAAGAGCTAGTTATAAAATGAGAAAATCGCACAAAAAAAAAATTATGTTAAAGACCAACTCTGGGCTTCATGTTCCCCCAATAATTTTCTGTCTTGTCCATTGAGGGACACAGGATTAAACCTTTGGCTTATACTGCCAACTACAGGAGGACTTAATGACAAAAACTGTAGGCCAGCCTAGGCTAACCCCTCCTACAACCAGCGTGCCTCAGTTTTTTGCTAGTGTACTAGGATACATGTCTCTTCTGCAGCTGTTCTGAGGCAGAGGCGTGTCCTGGTAAACACTAACTTTTTGGCTAACACTTTTTTCATTACTCTACAGGTTTTTTTTCTTCAAATCAAGAATCACTGCTAGAGCTCGTCTCCGATTGTAGCTATCCAGCGTGTCCATCCTTAAAGTACAAAGTCTGGACCCCGCTGGACTGGACTTTGTGAGGGTTGCTTAGGAGTGTCTTTCAGGCACTGGGCTCCTTGTTGGGCACTTTCCAGACTCTGTTCTGGTAAAGAGTTAGCTGCGGGGTGCTTACCATGTCTATAGCCACTGGCATTGCCTCAGTGCTTGCCCCGTCTCTTATTGAGGCCAAGCACTGGAAGCCACCTTATTAATATAGGTCACTGGGAGCCTTTAAAGTCCCCAGTTTCTACAATGGAAGGGGTTAATGCTGTGGGACTGAGCACCAATGTCATCTGCTGGGTGGAGCCTCATGCACACTCCTTGCTGCTCCTGCGCCTTCTCATGTACATTTTCTATCTGATTTAACCTGCGGGCTTAGTGGCTTCTGAGTTGCTCAAGTCCCTGACTGAGGAGCTTGCTCATTGATCCATGGAACCTAGAGGCCAGGAGGTCCCCATCTGGCATCTCGTACGTTGCATCATAGGCTTTTCCTACAGTAGAGTAGGAATAAGGTGATTAAACTACCACACATTTCCCTCAGTAGAGAGGAGACATCCATACCTATGGACACTAGCAAAAGGCAGAGGATTTCCTGGAGAGGGAGTGGTCCTATGGAGGTCCTCCCAGGTCTAACCAGTATCCAGTCACTTGATGGTACCTACATATAACCCAGTAGTCTTTGAATATGCCTGTGTCCTCTACTGTGAGGTCAAGAAATACATTTTTGTACTGACTAGAAAACCCTTTTCTTGGAGTCCGCTGAGGGACACAGGCCCCACCACTGTGTGTTCATAACCATTCTTTCTCTACTGCTTTGCTACAAAACTAAGGCATGCTGGGTAGTAGGATGTGCAATTCTGGGCTGGCCTGCACTTTTTGTGTTTGCCGGTGTCTAATTCTCCAGTAGGCAGCAGTATAGCCCAAAGGTTAAAGATTTGTGTGTCCCTCAATGGACTCCAAGAAAAGGATTTCACGGCGCGTACAAAAATCCTATTTTTGTATATTAACTCTTACATATTCCAAAGTCTTCAGGCCGGTCACATGATGCTGCAGAATGCTCTTCTACAGGTTGAGCAGTCCATACTGATGCAGAGTGTGGCACTGATGTGAAGACATCAGTGCTGTTCTCTACACCAGTACGCTGTGAATGTAGGGGTCAGGGTGATGCCCCCTCAGTGGGTGGAGCCATGATCATCTGCACTTAGTCTTCCAGGTTACATGATGCCCGGCCTCACTCAATCCAGAAGTCTAAGGGCATCTTGTGGCAAATAAGAGGTTCTGTGTGGCACAGCTCTGAAATGAGGGTAGCTTTTTCAGCCTCACCTGCTTTTTTAACACAGGCTGGGGGATCTTTATGAGCAATACAAATTTAGCCCGGAGTTTGGCTTTAAGGTAAACACTACAATAATAAGCCCAAACTATGTGTTCACTGAAGTTACACTATTTAAGCCAATCAGGAGAGACCAGTAACTTTGACTTACCTTGACACTAGGGGGCACTGAGCCATGGTTGAGTAATGTCTGTACCAACTGATGGGGCTGACACTCAGGGTAATCAGTGCACACCTGCAGTGCACAGTCCAGTGGCGTATACCCAGCGCTGTTGATCACATTGACAGATGCCCCATGATCGAGTAACATCTGCACCAGCTTGAGATGGCAGTTGGAGCTGGCATTGTGCAGGGGCCCATGGCCTTTCTTCCCAGGAGTGCCAGCATTACCCCCTGCTTTCAGTAGCATCTCTACCACCCTGAGGTATCGCCCAAAGTGCTGTGGGGATTCGCCGGCTGCACAGGCTGCATTAACGGGTGTCTCTCCCTCACGATTGAGGGCACGAGGGTCAGCGCCAAGGCTCAAGTACAACGCTGCATGGGCTTCCAGACCGCGGGTGGCCGCCACATGCAGTGGCATGGCACGGGTGTTATGGCAGGGAAGGTTCACAATACCACCATATTCCAGCAGTTGCTTTGCACATCTATAATATAAAAGATTGTTAAAATGGAGACCGACTTTGAGATCCTTACGTGAATAAGAAAGAACATAATACACAGAGCACATTTCATATCTTCAGCATGCTTTACAGTATATATTCCAAAACCAAATAATATTCAGTCTTAAATGATTATATTTGCCCAGGTTTATTAATTCAAGATTTATATTGGCCCTATTCAAGCTACTTGAAGTCTGACAGTTACATAGTATTTGAGGTTGAATAAAGACATAAGTCCATCAAGTCCAACCTATTGCGAGTATGCATGTATATGCCTGGTGTCGCACATTCTGTCTCCAGACTTCGGAGTCCAATAGCAGAGCCCTATATCTAAAGCAGAGCTACGTCTGCATTGTAGGGAATGGACACTTGCCTCCCAAAGAACCCCCCCAACAGGGCTGCAATGTCTATGACCTCCTTCATTGTTCCGCTGTCTCATGCACATGCAGGGGAGTTCACTATTCCTAGCAAGCAGAACATGCCGAGATTGAACACTGAGTTACAAATGCTTGGAGGAAGATTGCTGGCAGGGAAGACAAAGGCTGCTATGTCAGAAAAGATATACAGAGTCTCTGCTGCTTAAAGCACAACTCCGGGCAAATAAAATCTTAACCCTTGCAGTGGGGCTAGCCCTGCATTGCAAGGGTTAAGTGCTCATTTTGCCTAGGGAGCTAAAATAAAAGATATACTCACCCGAACTGCGAACTAAGCTGGCTCCTAGACTGATTCCTTCAACCCACTCCCTTCTTCCGCTCCAGCGATGGAATGCCATCAGCATCCTCACGTCCTATACGCTGTATAGCAGGGGTGCCCATTAGGTAGATCGTGATCAAAGCTGATGCTGGTAGATCACGAAGGGTGTGAATGGCGGCCCCTTTATTCCATTTTGGTATATTTATTTAGCTGTGCACACATGATTACCTATTAGCCTGAGTCTGCTGAGCCAAGCTCCCTAACACCTTTCTGGTGGATACTGGTGGTTGAAGTGCTATGTATTACATCAAAGACTATTAGTTTACACAGCCTATTGCACTACACTGTTTGCTAAATACAGCAAGGTGAGCCAGGAGAGAGAGCGGGGAGAGACAGACAGGAGAGAGAGCGCGAGGAGAGGCAGCCAAGAAAGCGAAAAGAGACAGCCAGGAAAGAAAACGAGGAATGACAGCCAGGAGAGCGAGGAGAGACAGCCAGGAGAGAGGAAAGACAGCCAGGAGACAGCCAGGAGAGAGAGGGAGGGAGGTTTTTTCTTCGTTGGTAGATCTCATGTAGCTCGTCATTTGAAAAGTAGATCTTAGCACAAAAATTGTGGGCACCCCTGGTGTATAGGATGTGATGACTCGCAGGACCTTAGATCGCCGGAGCGGTAGGGGAGCAAGGCTGAAGGGACCGGTCTAGGAGCTAGCTGGGATCACAGTTCGGGTGAGTATTTTAGCTCCCTAGGCAAAACGAGCACTCAGCCCTTGCAGTGCGGGGGTAGCCCCCCAATTACAGGAAATGTGACTGGGGGGACCAACCAGGGTGTTGGAACTTGCACAATGCATTGTTTTTAATCCATAGATGATGGCTCCCATTTTAAACAATATACTCACTCCAGAGTGTCCTTTATGGTACAGAAGTGGAGGGGCAGCTGCCCGTCTTCGCTCTGGAGATTGGGGTCGGCTCCACGGCTCAGCAGCAGCTGGGTACACTCAGTGTGCGCTCCCTCGCAGGCGTCATGCAGTGCTCCCCTTCCTCCCACGGTAGAATTGGGGTTGGCGCCGTGGCATATCAAGTGGCGCACGCACTCTGAATATCCTCGAGCGGCGGTGATACGCAGTGGGGTGGTGTGAGACTTTTTAGGTATTAAGGAGAAGAGACCTGCAAATACAAGAAGGGAGACATGTTAATTAATCACATCACTATCTGATTTATATTTTATACAGATGTTATTGTAGCTTAAAAGGAACATGTTAGGATAGATATACAGGACCTGACAGGGTGCTATTACCATGTAAAAGTAGCAGTGACATCATCACTGTGCTGTACATAGCCTGTGCAGAGAGCTGAGCTGTGGGAGGGACCCAGCAGACACCACCCACTACAGACTGCCTGCAGAAAACTACAGGAGGGGGCGGAGACGAGACCAATCACTCTGCACAAGGAGAGAGATCAGCAGTGAGCGGTCTTTATTACAGGAGGGGGCGGAGACAAGACCAGTCACCCTGCATAAGGAGGGGGAGTAGCAGTAACCAGTCTTTATTGCAGCAGGGGGCGGAGACAAGACCAGTCACCCTGCACAAGGAGAGAGAGCAGCAGTGACCGGTCTTTATTACATGAGGGGGTGGAGACCAGACCAGTCACCCTGCACAAGGAGAGAACAGCAGTGACCGGTCTTTATTACGGGAGGGGGCGGAGACAAGACCAGTCCCCCTGCACAAGGAGAGAGAGAGTCTTTATTACAGGAAGCTTCTGCACGCTTCCCCACACTATCCATAAAAAAAATGGATACTTCCTACTCCTCACTCATATTTTTGCATGCAGACCAGGGATAGGCAACTTTGGTAGTTTCCCAGCTGTGGTGAAACATGAGGCATTACAGGCATGATGGGATTTGTAGTGTCACCACAGCTGGACAGCTGAGTTTGTACTCCTGCTGTATATATACCTGGGGTTAGTACACACTGCCAATATGTTGTTTCTAAAGAAAGAGATGAAGGCCTTTTGTTTGAGCTGCTCGGAGTCTTGTGACACTTCTCTGCAGACCTTGCACCCCTCCAAAACAGAAAAAGGCCTGTTCTCTGAGCTGCTCTGAGCCTTGTAACGCCTGTCTGCAGACCTTGCACCCCTCCCAAACAGATGAAGGCCTTATTGCCCTGGCTGCACTGAACCTTGTGACATCTCTCTGCAGACCTTGCACCCCTCCCAAACATATGAAGGCCTTATTGCCCTGGCTGCACTGAACCTTGTGACATCTCTCTGCAGCCCTTGCACCCCTCCCAAACATATGAAGGCCTTATTGCCCTGGCTGATCTGAACCTTGTGACATCTCTCTGCAGACCTTGCACCCCTCCCAAACATATGAAGGCCTTATTGCCCTAGCTGCTCTGAACCTTGTGACATCTCTCTGCAGACCTTGCACCCCTCCCAAAGAGATGAAGGCCTTATTGCCCTGGCTGCTCTGAACCTTGTGACATCTCTCTGCAGACCTTGCACCCCTCCCAATCAGGTGAAGGCCTTATTGCCCTGGCTCATCTGAACCTTGTGACATCTCTCTGCAGACCTTGCACCCCTCCCAATCAGGTGAAGGCCTTATTGCCCTGGCTGCTCTGAACCTTGTGACATCTCTCTGCAGCCCTTGCACCCCTCCCAATCAGGTGAAGGCCTTATTGCCCTGGCTGATCTGAACCTTGTGACATCTCTCTGCAGCCCTTGCACCCCTCCCAATCAGGTGAAGGCCTTATTGCCCTGGCTGCTCTGAACCTTGTGACATCTCTCTGCAGCCCTTGCACCCCTCCCAATCAGGTGAAGGCCTTATTGCCCTGGCTGATCTGAACCTTGTGACATCTCTCTGCAGACCTTGCACCCCTCCCAATCAGGTGAAGGCCTTATTGCCCTGGCTGCTCTGAACCTTGTGACATCTCTCTGCAGCCCTTGCACCCCTCCCAATCAGGTGAAGGCCTTATTGCCCTGGCTGCTCTGAACCTTGTGACATCTCTCTGCAGCCCTTGCACCCCTCCCAATCAGGTGAAGGCCTTATTGCCCTGGCTGCTCTGAACCTTGTGACATCTCTCTGCAGCCCTTGCACCCCTCCCAATCAGGTGAAGGCCTTATTGCCCTGGCTGCTCTGAACCTTGTGACATCTCTCTGCAGCCCTTGCACCCCTCCCAATCAGGTGAAGGCCTTATTGCCCTGGCTGCTCTGAACCTTGTGACATCTCTCTGCAGCCCTTGCACCCCTCCCAATCAGGTGAAGGCCTTATTGCCCTGGCTGCTCTGAACCTTGTGACATCTCTCTGCAGACCTTGCACCCCTCCCAATCAGGTGAAGGCCTTATTGCCCTGGCTCCTCTGAACCTTGTGACATCTCTCTGCAGCCCTTGCACCCCTCCCAATCAGGTGAAGGCCTTATTGCCCTGGCTGCTCTGAACCTTGTGACATCTCTCTGCAGCCCTTGCACCCCTCCCAATCAGGTGAAGGCCTTATTGCCCTGGCTGCTCTGAACCTTGTGACATCTCTCTGCAGCCCTTGCACCCCTCCCAATCAGGTGAAGCCATTATTGTCCTAGCTGCTCTGAACCTTGTGACATTTCTCTGCAGACCTTGCACCCCTCCCAAACATATGAAGGCCTTATTGTCCTAGCTGCTCTGAACCTTGTGACATTTCTCTGCAGACCTTGCACCCCTCCCAAACATGTGAAGGCCTTATTGCCCTGGCTGCTCTGAACCTTGTGACATCTCTCTGCAGCCCTTGCACCCCTCCCAATCAGGTGAAGGCCTTATTGCCCTGGCTGCTCTGAACCTTGTGACATTTCTCTGCAGACCTTGCACCCCTCCCAACCAGGTGAATCTCTCAATCAGGTGAAGGCCTTATTGCCCTGGCTGCACTGAACCTTGTGACATTTCTCTGCAGCCCTTGCACCCCTCCCAATCAGGTGAAGGCCTTATTGCCCTGGCTCATCTGAACCTTGTGACATCTCTCTGCAGCCCTTGCACCCCTCCCAATCAGGTGAAGGCCTTATTGCCCTGGCTGCTCTGAACCTTGTGACATCTCTCTGCAGCCCTTGCACCCCTCCCAATCAGGTGAAGGCCTTATTGCCCTGGCTGCTCTGAACCTTGTGACATCTCTCTGCAGCCCTTGCACCCCTCCCAATCAGGTGAAGGCCTTATTGCCCTGGCTGCTCTGAACCTTGTGACATCTCTCTGCAGCCCTTGCACCCCTCCCAATCAGGTGAAGGCCTTATTGCCCTGGCTGCTCTGAACCTTGTGACATGTCTCTGCAGCCCTTGCACCCCTCCCAATCAGGTGAAGGCCTTATTGCCCTAGCTGCTCTGAACCTTGTGACATCTCTCTGCAGCCCTTGCACCCCTCCCAATCAGGTGAAGGCCTTATTGCCCTGGCTAATCTGAACCTTGTGACATTTCTCTGCAGACCTTGCACCCCTCCCATCTGGAGTTCTCTTTCTGCATTAATCCAAAGTTCCCAGAGGTGGAGAGACAAGAGGAATAAAAAATACCCATGAATCCCAGTGAATACAAATACCACAAGGTGCCTTCTGTTAACTAAAACTCAGGCACTTTAGCAGGGTTGGGCAAGCTCCGGCCCTCCAGCTGTCGTGAAACTACAAATCCCATTATGGATCTGCCTCTGGGAGTCATGCCTGAGGCTGTCAGAGTCTTCCGGTGTCTAATGGGATTTGTAGTTGCACCACTTCTAGAGGACCGGAGTTTGCCCTCCCCTGTTGTACATGGTTAGTAAATCTAACACAATAGTCCAGTTCTGATTGTATAATCCAAATGAAACGTGCGCGGCCAACGCCTTGGGTGACTATAGAGACCACCTCACCTATGTCCGGGGACCACTGCAGCTCTTCGCTGACCGTCTCCACCACCACTTCTGCCGAGTCCTGTTCTTTGAATATGACCTTAATCCTCTCCATGTCGCCAGTGTACAGGGCGTTGTGGATGGCAGTGTCCCGGCAGTAGTGGCGCCGCTGGCTAGCTGGGGGTTGAAAAGCGCTTCGGCCGGTCTGTAGCCTGCGGGTGAGACATTGCCGGTTCACGGCCCTCCTGCGGTCCTCGTACTCCAGCTGTTCCCTCTGCCATTGTAGGGAGCGTAGGGTGGCCGCAGTGAAGGGGAAGGTTTCCCTGGACATTGTACAAGGAGGGGAGCTTCGACTCGCTGCACTCGCTGAACGAGGGCTGCTCAGTCCTATTTATAACTGAGAGGCTCTGCTGCTCCACATGGTAAACATATTTCTGCAGTGTCACTTTCCTGGAGATAATTATGGGGTGGCCTGCCCCGAACTTGACTCAGTGTGACATTCGTCACGTGGAATGAACCAATATTATCCCTTCATCGAAGGCCATCAAACATTTAATATATCTTGTACACAGAGCTCAGTTTACCAGATCAACATACAGTGAGGGAGGGGAGGGGGGATATTTATCAAAATCTGGAGCAGATTTGCACTGCAACCAATCAGCTTCTCTGTCTCATTTTCCAATCTTACCTGAGCAAACTGAAGAGAGATGCTGATTGGTTGCCCAGGGCAACTTCTCCAGATTCTGCTTGCTCCAGTTTTGATAAATTCCCCCCAGTATGTCTGTCCATAGAAGATCTATACTTGTCTACTGATCACGCGGGCCTAGTCATGTGACCGCACACCAAGGCCTGAGTTACCTAAAGGGATATTAAAGAACTCCAGGCAATTTAACCCTTGCAGTGGGTCTACCCCCCTGCACTGCGGGGGGTAACCACTCATTTTGGTCTCCAGCTGTGTTTTAACTACGAACCCCAACATGCCTCTGCGAGTCAAGCCTGTAAATGTCAGTTTTGCAATGCCTCATGGGACATGTAGTTGCACAACAGCTGGAGGACCAGATTTGCCCTCACCTGCTCTAAAATTGAAAAAAAAGATATACTCCCCTGATCCTGCGGCAGTGACCGCTCGCCTCTCTGCCCTACGCTCCGGCTGTGGACTGTCTCTCCGCTTTCTCACATTCAGTGCAAGGCAATGGACTTGTATTGAACGTGGGGACATCAGTGGGGCTTAGACCGACGGAGCCCAGCGGGGAGGAGACAGTGGGGACTGGTCTAGACGCACGGCGGGATCAAGAATCAGGCGAGTATCATTTTTTTAAATCTAAGACCCTAGACCAGTGGTGGCGAACCTTGGCACTCCAGCTGTTTTGGAACTACAAGTCCCATGAGGCATTGCAAGGCTCTGACAGCCACAGACATAACTCCCAGAGGCAGATGCATGTTGGGATTTGTTGTTTTGGCACAGCTGAAGTGCCAAGGTTCGCCACCACTGCCCTAGACCAAAATGAGCACTTACCCCTTGCAGTGCAAGGGTAGCCCCACTACAAGGGTTAATATGTCAATTGCCCCGAGTTCTTCTCTAAAGTCAAAGAGGGAAATGAATCAAAACTGGAGCAGACAGGAACAGTTGCCTACAGCAACCAATCAGCTTCTGTCTTTCATTTTCAAGGCTTAACTGAACAAACTGAAGAGAGAAGCTGATTGGTTGCCACAGGCAACTACTCCAGTTTTGATAAATTCCCCCAAATGATTTTAGGATATTTCAGATGCTGATTAAATCACTTACAATGGATGGTGCTCCTTGATGTTAAAACGTTGTATTTTCCGGCAGAATCAGCTGCTCTCCTGAGCACTGGCCGTGATATCCTGTTTTAGGGTGACTCCTTTCCCTTCCAGGGTCCTATGGAGCCACCCTTGTGTGTGTGCTAGTAAGCTGTGTGTGTCTCCACAAACACAGCAAAGCACTTCCTGGCTCCACCTCCAAGCTAGGAGTTGGACAGTTGCTGGAGACTACTATGTCCTTTGTACTAGACTGGAAGTTCATGGAAGCCGAGCTGAGAGAATTGGAGCTGTCTGCAAACATGATGACTGTAAGTGCTTGAGCAATGATGTAAAGACATATTTTTCAGGGCAATGTACATTTGTTTGATCTGGATTCATAGCCAAAGAACAATAGAATGTAATACTACTGTGTATTTAAACACAAGCACATCCATATAATATTTATTGCAGCTTACCAGTCCTTAGGTGTGCGATGTGCTGGCTGCATTGCTCTTCTTTTTCCAGGCTAATACATTCAACAAGTACAGAAAATATTTGTTGATCCTGCCAGAATTGCAGTGTCCTTGTCACTTCCTGTGAGCTGAGAAGAAAGCACAAACATCCTTATCCATCTTGTGTAGGCTGCTCATCCCTTCGGCCACCATGTCATGAAGATGAACAAGAGGTTGATGTGTTTGAACTCCAGCCCACAACCATGGCTCCTTCCATAGATACAGTGATGAAGTGAGAGAGCCAGGAAGTGAAAAGACGGGTGTTATTGGCAGGATCATCAGGTAAAAATGAGCGGGTAAAACCCAAGAGAACGAATGCGGTCACCTCCTCTAGGAGGCGGCATTACATTTTGGGGGGTTTAGATGCACTTTATAGCTAAATTACAGGCAGAGATACACAAATTAATGCAGCTCTGTAATTAATGTCTTTTTTAACTGCAAGTGGTGTCAGAACCTGAATTTGACACTTGCAGTCCATGTACAGCAGAGCCCAGACTGGGGACGGAAGGAGCAGCACAAGGAGCCAATCAGATTTGCTGCAAAGCAACATGCTGATAGGAGAAGAAAGCAAGGTGACCTCAATAGAATGCTGCTTTTCCTTCACTGTCCACTAGGGAAGGGACAAGACCTGTAAGTGTTACTGAACAGCTGGCAAAAATCAGGGTTCCTGTCCAGCTAGACAGGCCTGTGCTATGTGGCAGAGCTGTGTAAATCTGAGGACTGGGCAGACAGAATTACAAGGCCTTTGTCAGGTAAAAGAGCTCCCTTGTAATGGCCATATAGCTCCCGCATGGTCTGGAGTTCAGCTTTCAGTTTGAATAGACATGAAGGGAACGTTTGTGAACGTCACACATCCAAATAGAGAAAAAAAAATCTGTCACTTTATTGAATATTGGACACGCACACAGTTTCTTGTTAAGCTTTAGTAAATCAGGCCCATGATCATCACAGTTTAAAGATCCAGCATGGTATTTACATACAGAGCCCCCTGGGCCATGGTGCTCTAGAGCTACAGTTTTGCATTGGTGCCTGCTTTCATACCCTGGTTTTAGCTTTAATCATTTAGGTTGACAGGTACAATTTAAAGGTAGCCCTTCCCATCGTCCAAACTAGGTAAAGTTGGGGTGACTATGCATACAACTTCAACAAGACCCCAGGAGCCCCAAATCACAGTGTGCTCCAATATGTGGGCACTCACAAGCCAAGGTTTGGCCTGCCCCTTCACACCTACTGTATTGGATATAGTAGGCTGGAGGAGCATGACTGGCTATCTCAATGCCTAGCAGAAAATTGTAGAAGGGGAAGGTCACCTGTTCATCCTCAATCAATCAAGCTCACCACACAATATGCTAGTGCAATATCCACCAGTGCAAGGGTCTGTCTGACTGAATACAAATTGGCGTAACAATAGCCATAGCAGCCCACACGGCTGCTTTGGGGCCTGGAGCGGTAGGGGGCCCATTAAAGATGGAAGGAGTTGCTGTTGACCCTGTACCCACCTATGACATTTTCAGTCAAGAAGAGCTGGCATCAGTTGTACAGGAGGAGACAGATCTCCTGCTACCTGTCCTTGGTTTAGATTTAAAGTGGTCGCCAGGGGGCCCCCATCAAGATTTTGCTATGGTGCCCCATGATCTGTATTTATGCCCCTGGTTACGTAGGATCTTATATAGCTTTCTTAAATTTAAAGGAGACTGTACAGATTGTAACATGTATGGCAAGCTTCTGATAATTCCCAATTCTGGGGGCACTAAGGCAGCCTTAAAGAAGAACTCAAAAAGTCCCCTTGCAATGGGGCTACCCCCACACTGCAAGGGTTAACTGCTCGTTTTGCCTAGGAGGCTCTAATAAAGCAGTTTACTTGACTGAGGGTTAGATCACACCATAGGCAGTGTGTTCCGGTCCGCTTCTGCACCGTAGCCATGCCCATGCGGCTGTGATCGCAAGGCACATTGTGCCTGCAGTGCGATCAAAATGCTGCAAGCACTATTTTGATCGCACTGCAGGCACAATGTGCCTGGCGATCCCGTGCGATCGCATTGCGGCCGCAGGGCGTGGCTACAGTGCCATTCACTTCAATGGCCCGCCACTTCCCCTCCAGCCCGGCAAAAAAGTGAGCAAGCCACAATTCGATGCAGTGCGTTCCGGCCAGAATGGGACCGGAATGCACTGCCTATGGTGTGAACTAACCCTAAATCTCAGTCCCACAACGGTTAGACCATCAGAGCCCGGTGGAGAACAGACAGTGGGGACCGGTGTAGCAGCCCAGAGGGAGCCGGCGGGACAGAGGATCAGGTAAGTAAATCTGCTTTGTTTAAGTCCTAGACAAAAATTAGCATTTAGACATTTCAGTGCTGGGGTGACCCCTCTACAAGTGTATGTTTTTGATTTCCCCGGAGTTCTTCTTTAAAGTAACCCAATTATCCAGCCACATACAACTGCTGCTTGTCACTATGCATGCAAAAATATATAAAAGTATTTTTGTACAAAGCCCGTCTTATCTTACATATACCTGTCACGAGAGAAATGTAGGAGGATGTCATTCCTAACTTCTTCTTCTAGAGAAGAGAATAAAAAAACATCTTTTTCTGGTTAGTCTGGGGTCTGCCCCTTTCTGCTTTCCTCGCCTTCCTATTGGCTAAGGAGTGTGATGGGCATCATCGTTAGCCAATTGAAAGGCCAGGGCAGTAGGGAGGAGAGGCCAATGAGCTGCCAGGAAATATATGGTCTCTTTTTCCTCTAATACAGCCCTTGGTTTTATTTTAGCACTGGGACTGGTTACTTTGAGATCACCGGGATTCAACGCAGGGTGTCCCCATTTATAAGTTACAATATGCCGGAGGTAGGAAGGGCTCCCGTTTTGTTAAATTCTTCCACAGTGTATACATGAAAAAGGTTTTACTTTACCTCCTTCACCACTGGGGCCTGGGATGTTGGTCTCTCCATAGACTGAGCAAGTAAAAGTCCAAATGCGATCCCTAATTGCTTATAACAAGCCAAAATCCAGTACATCACAGCAACAAGACACGAACGCGCTTCAGCTACACAAGCCTTAATCATAGCTCACTATAACTAAGGCTTATATAGCCAAAACGCATTAGCATCTTGTTGCTGTGATGTACTGGAGTTTGGCTTTTAAAGTGCAACTGCAGCCAAGTTTGGATAGAGCCGAGAGGAATTTGATCACCTGTCCAGTCTTTATTGCTGTCTCTTATCCCATTAGGAAGAGTTGCACTCTCTATTTGTCCTGGTGACCGTCATCACCAAAAGTGAAAGAAAATCCCACATTTTGGGTTGTCACCAGAACAAGAAAGGATGGGAAATCTTCCCATCCATCCTAGTTCTGGTGACCCTACTGACCACCAGGGATTTCCTCTCATTTCTTGTTGTGGCTATTGGACAGGAAGTAAAGGGAAATCTCCCCCAATGGGACACAAACGGCAATAACCCGTCAGCTTTTTATAACGCTCCACTACTCTATCTAGAGCTTTAAAAAAAAAAAAAAGATTTGGCTTCAGTTCTACCTTAAATAATAAAGAGGGATTACAAATGATCTGTTATGATCAAAGCAAATTTCAGGCAATTTCAGTCACATGCAACTTGCATTTAATTATAAAAATGACCAAATGGATAAAGCCAACCTACCACCAACGCTTTCTATTGACACCGTGGATTGAAGTCTTGGTGGTAGGTTGTCTTGATCTGTTTGGTGATTTTTGTGATTAAAACCTGGTTAAAAATGACCTGCATCTTGCCATTAGAGGTACGAGGTTCCCAGAACCAGTAACAGGCTTATTTAATAAACATATGCTGGATTCTGATTGGCCGTCATAGATCACTTCCCTTTTTCACTTTGTGCCTTGCTCCTGCACGCTTTATTCTAATAAGCAGAAGTGTTTTGTTGTTTTTTTTTTATATAGAAGGACCAGTTCTCTGAAATCCTATTTGGATCACATTTAGTTGTGTAGAGGTACAAAAAATAAAGAAATGAGCTCAAACAAAATTAAACAAATCAAACCGCCATTTTGCTCAAACGTATCCGATTACTTTATTCTTCTAAAGCAATCTCTTTTTCTTTACTTGGATAAAGTTTTGCACTTCAAAGGCACGTGTTTCTTTACATGTGTAACAGTTCCATGATGGATATCTTCCACATAGGTGTACAGTGAGGACATGTAGAATTTAGAGTGCTGTATAGCTTCCAAAAACAAATAAGAGATGGGAGGAAGTATGAGCTTTTGCTCATCCAGAGTAGAAAAGCTTGTCCCCTGCCAGCATGCCACAGGGAAGGACCCTTCTTCTCTGTGTAGAAGCAGTTCAGAGGCTTGACACTCCCCCTGCCGAGTCAGACCTATAGCTGTGGAATCAGTAAAACCCATGCTCCCTGCTGATTGGAGAACTCTAGCGCCAGATCAGTAGTGGTATGTCTGACCGCTGTAGAGAGACCACTGCTTCCACAGAGAGAAAGGTCCTTCCCTGCAGCATGCTGGCAGGGGACAAGCTTTTCTACTCAGGATGTGGCTACACACTAACACCTTTTGTCTTGGTGCACCTGCAATGTATGTGATTTTAACTAAAAGTTCAGTGGGGGTTAGACGAATCAGATATCCTTTATGTGAGCAGTGACTTCATATTAAGTTGACACTTTTGTTACATAACAGGCACCTTGTAGTTCCTGTGTCGTGGTGTCTACTAGATCAGTCTTCACATCTGGCATGCTAACAGCAACCAGCTTCTTTGTTGCTGCCTCTGGCCCCCCCCCCCCCCCCCCCAGAAGTAATAAAATGAACTAGGATCACACTAATCCAGCACGTTATTAATCTCACGTGCCCCCACTCAATATGGCCGCCGCTTAAGTGGGGCAACTCAGAATAATAACGTGCTGGATTAGTGTGATCCTAATTCATTGTATTACTTCATTGCTGTGCTGTATGTGTATAGGCCAATGCCAGGGATCCCAACCTGAAATAAGCAATTTCAGGGAGGTGTCCCTCTCATTTCAGGGAGGTCCCCTCTCCCCCCCCCCCCCCCCCACTTCCATCTATCCCACTTGACTATTGGTTAGGGAGACTGCCCATCACAGAGATGAGCAAATAGCAAAGCAGATTAAATGGGAGAGGGCAGACCCGGAGCAAGAACCAGGTGGCTGGTCAGTATGCCAAACTCCTCTTGGTTATTCAGGGGCATGGCCCGACCTACCATCTAATATCAGGACTGGTGTGCAGGCACCTCCATGGGCCCACTATTTAACAAAATGTTCAGCTTAAGAAATGGAAATGGCCACAGGTTTGGGTACTGCAGAAGTCATTTGTCTCATTTTTGGTGACATGAAACATCCCTCTCAGACTGTAAATATTAAAGTGTGCTTTTAGGATATTAAGTCTTTGAAAGCAGCCTGAAATGTCATTCTCCGGGGTCCTCTGGAAGGTCACATAGCAAAGAGTCCAAGTCATCTACAAGAAAAAAAAAAGAACACGATAGAAATGAAGAAAAACTGAGTTTTAGGAGGTGCATAGACTTTAAGACTTAAGACTGAAAATCAGACTGCTGAACAATCATTGCATAAATGTGCATGTCAGTAGTGGATCAGGCTGCATAGCATTACATATACAGTGTATGCAACTGATATCTAGATTTCCCTTTGAAGAATCCTGATGTTGCTGGAGGATTTGACCTCTGCTGTTTTATATATGTGCACATATGTTTAATAAGTTGTATAAGGTAACACAAAGCAGAAGTACCGAATGAACATTACTCACCCATGTCCCAGTCTCCACCGTCTGTAGCTAGAGACGTCCTGGACTGTGCTGTGCTGAACGATGGAGATGATGGATTTGTCTGTACTGTGCTGGAAGATTGGTAAAGTGCTGCTGGACCCGGGGCTCTGGTATGCATTGGATTGCAAGATAAGGAAGATACTGCTGACTGGGGAGCTTTAGATTCGGTTATGTGGGATGATGGCTGGTGGGCTCTGGAGAGGAAGGGAGGTGTAGCTGGCCAATTACTATCAGGCTGCATTGTGCTGGAGGAGAGGGAAAGTGCTTGATCTAAAGCCCTGCCTTGTCTTGTGCTGGAGGACAAACGCTGGTGTAACTGGGTGTCATTGCTGTTCACATCCACCTCCTCCTCTGTCGTTATTTCCACAGACACCTGTATTGGAATACAAAGTTATTCATTCCAATCCAATTAAAAAGCAATTCCAGGAAAAAATTAAACCAATCAGTGAGCTACTATTTCTATCCAGCAAACATTGCGACTGCTAAAATCAGAACGTTCACTCAGTTTATGCCTTCTGTATAATTCACTGCAGTCAGATTTTCAAACACTAAGTCATTATGAGGGCAGCAGGAGTGTGTTTCCTGAACCTTGTACTGTGTAACTTCCACTCTCACAGTTTCTGGATTACCAAGTTAATTCAAACATCTAAAGCTGGCCATACACCTAGAGATGATCTGCAGGCTTTCTATGGTCAGATGGAAAAAGTGCAACAGATTCCTCCATCTATGCTACACTGTGTGGATAGAGGAGTCTCACACTGGGCCAAGCTTCAGCATCTTGCTAGTCGGCCTCGCTGGCTCTCAAAATACCTGAACAATCTGATTGGGTGCAGGCATTATTCAGGTATTTTGAGAGCCAGCGGGGCCGACTAGCAAGACACTGAAGCTTGGCCCAGCGGGAGATTGCTCCATCCATACAGTGTAGTGTAGTGTAGATGGAGGAATCTGTTGCACTTTTTCCATCTGACCATAGAAAATCTATAGGTGTATGGCCACCTTAAGGCACCTCTGAATCTGGTTGGTAGAAACATCTCCAGTTCATGTTACAGTATCACAAAGCTGTGCTAGTTTCATTTTCAAACCTGACTGGGAGTGTACATTTAATGGAAAGCACTGAAATGCAACTTTTCATATAGGTCTCATATAGATAAAATACACATTTTTGTCATTTATAGGAAGCTTTCCAGGACCCAATTGTGACCCCCTTCATATAATAATATGGAAGGGGTCGTCGTTTCCCCAAGGACCCTTCACAATAAACACAAACCGGGGAATTTATAAAAACTGGAGCAGTTACCCATAGCAATCAGTCATCTTCCCTCTTCAGTTCCTCCAGTTAAGCGTTGAACATGAAAGATGGAAGCCGTTTGGTTGCCACAGCTGCTCCAGTTTTGGAGATGGAAAGACTCCACCCCGATGCTGCTTATACAGTCTAGTCTGACTATTTAAATACAATGGTTCTCATAGAAACAACAGTTATGCCCACTGTGTGGTGCTGCAGGTCAATGTGTAACTGTAGCTTACAAGCTATGTAAAAAAACAAAGCCATGGAAGGATAGTCTTTCCATATTTCTATGCAGGACGGTCACAAATAAAATGAGGATTTCTTTTAACCCCTTCGTGACTGACGACATACAGTGTACGTCGCCAGCATCGGGGCTGTTTAAACAGACTCCCGGCGACTCGTTCACAAGGTACGTGTTGCTCTGTACAGCATTAGGGCTAGTTTTTTGGTAGCTCTGTTAACTATGTAGATGCAGGAGCTGTGTGCCTTCACACGCTGCTGTCCGCAGCTCTGAGTTCTGACAGGCGCACACAGACTGTGGTACATGATGGATTAAGGTCCGCGTGCGCCTGTCAAAAGTCGAAGCAGCGTGTGAGAGCGCACCGCTCCATAGACGTACATGACATGCCCACATGCTTCCTTCCGTAGCTCTGGACACATCAAGAACCGGCCCTTCATAATGTGTGGAGCCACACGCCCCGTGTGAATGAGGGAATTAAACCTGGACATGTGTAGGCTGCGATTGCTGACCTCTTCCTGTCGGTCGTGCTGATCCAAAGGCTTCAACACTTTACATAACTGACCTGGAACAATTATGCAAATCAGGGCTGCTGACTCTTCTCTGACCTTGCTTTATGCATATTTGTTCTGGGTCAGTAGGTATTGAGGTTGGAGAAGGTCAAGAAACTAAGGTTTCCAGAAAGTCAGCCCTCGTATTTCTTTCAGTACAGATTTCCTATTAAAAAGAAGGAAGTTAAAGAGAAAAGGAGTAGACAGATCCAGCAAGTGCCATTAACGAAGCTTGGACACTTTTGCTATGAAAACCTCATGCTGACACCTGACCTCTCTTCTGTGTGCAACGCCTACGTTTTTTAAATAAAAAAAAAAATACTTCCCTGGGTCAAAAAAAAACAAACCACAGTCATTCTCTCCCAAAAACTCTCACCCTTGAACTTTCATTTCCGTCTGCTGATGGATAGACCTTCACCAAGTTACTTGGTGTCACATTGAGATAATGATTGCGATGGGATGGTGAGAAGACCCCAACCTGTAAAGAAGAAAATTAGCTGAAACAGACATCGACCAAAGCAACGGAGCAAAGTTGTGACGTCATCCCGGAAAAATCACTCTGGAGATCTTGGCACGGCCAGGAATAAAAAAGTTCAACTGTGCAGGCGCTATTGACGTAACGAGAATGAATTACAGTGATATCTCACTAAGGGGAATTTGCTGCGGTCTACATCAAGTAGGTACTATGTGCTTGCTGACGGGTAAAGCTGTAAGGTTGAGTTTAATTCCACTTTAAAAATGAAATACAGTAATCAGAGTGAAATTTGGTGTCTACACAATGACATATTTTTCAGGCTTGTATAAATAGAACAGGCCTTGTAGCTTTAGATTGCATATGTGAAGTGTGTACGGAAAGCTTTTACAAAGCACTTGCAAAGCCTTCAGTCAGCTTTTAAAACACCCTCCAGCTTCTACTTTAATTATAGACCAGAATAGTAAGCATTGCAGGCGTCAGCAAGCTCTCAACAAGTGTCAAGTAGTGCCGAATCTTCCCGAAAGCCTGCTGAAGACCTTTTAGCAACTTCTATAAGCACTTTCATGAAGATCTATGTTGAGCATCCCCAGATTGGAGAACAAAGCCCAAGTCATGCTAGCGATCCTGACGGCTTTGAGAATTCAACATCAACAGGACTGCTAAAAACCCTCAGAAAGGACGCATATCTGCTTTGTATGTGCCTCTCCTCTGTTCAGCAACAAAGCATTAGTCCCACGTTGCTGAAAACGAGAGAGCGTTGCCTTGCTTCTCCAGCTGGAGAGGGAGCAACACATGTAAGTGTTTTCCCTCCCAACTGCATATTGCAAACCGATCCTGCTGTTGGCGAGTTCTTGCCAGCGACAGGACTGCCAGTGTATGCAATCGATAATACGAGATCACCTGCACTCCATACAGCGTACAGACCTTGGATGAAAGGTTGGTGCTTGAAGTGACAGCACGGATGGCGCTGTGTCAGATAAAGTCCATAATAGAAGTCACCAACACTCGATGATGATAGTGACGTCACTATGTCGCCCAGAAGAAGGGACCCTGCGTGGTCCTGAAACGTTAGCTGTATGACGCATGTGACGATTTAATAAAAAGTGCTTTACTTCTTGCACGCATCATCAAGTGCTGGTGACTTCTATCAAGGACTGCCAGTGTGACATGGCCCTAAGAGCTCTTTAAAGGCTTCAAGAATGCTGCTCTTATACAAGCTGAAGACCATGTGTACCGTAAGAATATTATAGACGTTAAGCAAACACATCAGAGCACCTGTATCTCTGTACCTGCTGCAGGAGGAGGACACTGCCTGCTTTCAGCTCCCTCTCCCTCTCCTCCAATAACAGATGATGGACCGTCCCTTGGATTTCTCCTAAGAAAAAAACATAAAGGCTGGATTCTCACATTTTACCATACGTAACTGCACGTACGGGTCTATGTGGGTTGTGATACAGTGTTGTTTATTCTGGCACCCCAACGCAGATATACAATTTAAAAAAAAAAAAAAAACACACCTGCGCTATGGTGCACTCAATGCATAAATGTAAATACTCTGTTGTGTATGGTCAAATAGTGCAGGTGAGTTCTTCATGTGTTAGGAGATCATTTATAATTAATGGGATGCCCAAAAGCAATATGTCTCCACGCACAAGGTGTGAAGGGGCTCTTAGGAACCACCAGCGAGAATCAGATTTGTTACTACAAATGTAGCAAGTGTGTAGTAAGTGTGCCAAGTCTTGACCAATCCATTTAGTTTAATGCAGTAGGAAAGTCCTCAACTTACATAGGTAGTGGTAATAGAGGACCTCTACTTCTGCATAGGACCTCTGTTATGGTTTTATTGTCCTGTATTTTTATTCACTATTTGTCCTGGTGACCAGGCAGAAAGAGAGGAGAAATCACCTGGCGGGGACAGCTTTCAAAAGGTGCGAATACCCCTCACCTTTGAGAGCTTTTCTCTAATTACCTGTTATGTCTAAACCTAAAAATTTAACTATTCCCCCCCAAAAAATAAACAAATATTGGTTAAATGTATAACTTATAATAAGGATGAACTTGGTTCTGCTCCGGTCCATTTAAGAGACTACTACAAGCCAATCCCGCCCCCCCAAACCGTGCTGCTGATCTCTTTTACCTGTTGCATCTCGGAATACTGCACTGGCATCTCCATTGGCTGGGGTCAAACTCTTAAGAGCTACGGCCATCCGTGGGACTTTATTCTTTGGGAGCTGCTTGAGAGCCGCCTGTATTTATTCACCAGGAGAGAATGCACAGTGAATATTGACAACACTGATCCAACATCAGAAGCCAACATTGCAGTATTTACCTTACGGAGAACCATGACAACACTGTATGTTCTCAGGAAGCAGACTGGGTCATTTTCATCCAATGACAGCTCGGCTTTCATGGTAGCCCAGGGACCCCTTACAAATTCTTCTGCCACTGGTTGCTGGGAAGGGGCATTCTCCTGGAGATAAAATATATTTTGCATGACTGTTTATACTATCGAACTGATACAGTAAAATCAACTAATTAACATAATGACTGTTTTGTTGAGGGGGAATCGTGAAGTGTAAAGACCATGAAATGTATTATAAAGCAGCACTATGGTGACACAGAGGCCATACTGCTGCTCTTCAATCACAAATTCACAAATGAGTTCCCTGCTTTGCTTGCGTCAGGACTGGCAGTGAAGTCCAAATCATTTTAAAATGACTTGTTGCTAATCCTAAAACTGAACTCTACTACTCTTGCAGTGGAGCCATCCCACGTACATGCATACACTGCAAGGATTAGTTCTAGTAGTAGGTATTATTACCAGGTCTAATACTTACCTTATTCCTCGCTCCGGTGCTCTCAGTAATGGGTGGTCCTCTCGCTGCCCTTCTGTACTGGCCCTGCATGGAACTTGATGACATCAGTGTGCGACCGCCAGCCAGGGCACCTTAGAGAAAGGGCTTCGAGGGACTAGTCACACAGAAGGAGGGAGTACATTGATCACTACGCTTACGCTCCATTGAGATCTATGCTGTGGTGGCAGATTTCTCTCTGAATAAATTTGTAAATGGATGATGCAGACTATGTGGGAGAGGCCACGCACCAAATTCAAGCCGAAACAAAAGTCCACGTGGAGAAGAACTCAGCGATTCAGGTAAGTGTGGGGGGATTTGAGGGTGGGCTGCTAGGGAATGTGTCCACCTTTCATGTTACAACCTAAATATGGATACCCCATGAAACATGGTGACAAAGGAGGACTATGCTTTCAAAGTGCAAAGATTTTTTAATGCCCAGCACCAGGTCTTTATACTCTAGTCTAGCCCCAAGTGTCAGTGGCTCCCTATAATCCAGGGCTGGACAAATCCCAGGAGCCAGGTAGCAAATACTCCTTAAAAATGACAGCTGGTGCCTAACTTTTGAGGGTTTCTCTTGTTGTTGCTGTCAATGCTGTCGTCCTGCTGGCCCCCTGAATTCCATAGTAATTTGTCCACCCCTGCTATAATCTATTTACTATAGCATTATAACTGCAACAGAAACCGGTAAAATAAAAATCAAGTCAATCAGGGCCCCTAAATTGTAGCGAGACCACATTTTGGGAGGTCTGGCCTACAAGCTGAATGCTTAGGTTAAGGCAAAGAGACACAAATCCTTTGTTGTTGTAGAAAGCAGCCGGGAGACAGAAGAGGTCTAAGAATAACCATACAAAGAAAATGTCCCAGAATAAAAGACTTACCTTGCTGTGGTGCCTGGCTTGCGCCCCATGGCTAGGTGTATGTGGGGTGGATATCAGGATTTCATCCAGCCTTCTGCCACTGGCCTGCTAACAGATGTAAATCACAAAATGTCATTCAAACTAAAATGTAATGCCAAATAATTATATTAGGTGACAACTACTGCCTGGATGTATTATTGTGACTGGCAGGTGAAGACATTCTGAGCTCATGGTGATAATTACTGCACAAATACATGTAGATATTGGAGAGATATGAATGTCTAGGCTTGTGGATGAAGCACCCGAGAGTCAGCTGATCTTCGGATGGTAGGAAAAGCAATCAGCCAAAATGTCATCCCAGCTAATCACTTTACCACCAAAGAGGGCTTGGCCAGGGGGTAGGGAAGAGCTTACTGTCATTTGAATGTTCCCCAATTCAACCATACATTTACGGCATAGCAAACATTCTCTTAGGTCTGTAGGCATGCTGAGGGATAAAAGTTAAACACGTTTCTCCTGGAAAATTTCACATCTGAGCTCCTATGTTTTTGCCTGAAACTTTAGAGTCGAAAGTTGCCTTTCTATGTAAGGCTTCTATCAATTTCTCATCAGCCTTATTAAACTGTATGTGTAAATGACTAGGTAGTATGTTCCTATCCAGCTACAGACTTCAAACATTCACAACACTGTGCCACAGCTCTGCCAATGGAAATTTCACCTGCTGTGGCAGAAGGCCGGCTGGCCCAGGAAACCTCCTTTCTTTGGGGGGTGGTGTCTCCCATGCCAGCACCCGTGGTGTCTTGTTGGCAGCTTCCACCAACTGTACAAGATGATTGGTCACCACTGGTGTCTGCAGAGTGCCAGGCTGGTGCGGGCGAGAAGGCATCTGGGGAGTTTTTAGTAGCGAGTTGCTGCCCGCACCACCTTGCCATGAATGGGCTTGTCTCACAGCTGCTGTTGGTGTAGTGCAACGTCGATAGGAAGACTGGGGCAGCTGAGCACCAGTTCTTGCAGGCGTGACTGGTTGCATTTCCAGGCTAGGCCTCAAGCAGGGCCTTTTGGCGGTAGGACTCGGAGACTGGCCTCTCCCCCTGTCACTCGCAAGGAAATTAGAAGCTGTGGGAGAGTTTGTAGTAAATCCACATGATTGGCGCTGAATATGACCAGTCTCTTGAAGGGGTCTCGTAAACGTCCTGGGTTCCGAATTTGAACAGAATCCACCCCCAGAAGGACGCAGATGAAAGTCGGGAGAGCTATTTGCGGTGAAGCTATTATTTTGAGATGTCTGATTGATAGGCCTCAAGCACAGTCTTGGATTTGGGGTTTGACATGGTGTCTGATATTGTTCTTGTGATACCCCCGCTTCCAGTTCACTACAGGCCGACAGCAATTCCTCATCATCCAGATCCAGGTCCAGGGACGGCACACTTGACGTATCTGCAGGTGATTTGGTATGCACCTGCACAGTGACTGTCTCTTCAAAAAATGACGGCTTTGCAAGGTTAGAAGAGCCTCCTGTCACCTGCGTGTCCTTAGAAGAAATAGGCCTGAGGTGGACAGGTGTGATACGAGTATTAGTGGAGAAGCTGGGTTCTGTACCCTCCAATGCAGACAGGAACTCCTGTAGAGACAATCGATGATCAGTTTTGTTAACTTTTTGTTCTTTATTTCTAGTCAAGTCCGTCCCCTGCCTCCATTCTAACCTAGGCAAGAATGATGTGCTCCTGCAGCCTCCTGGGTTATCCATGTCACATATCCCAAAAGGCAATAAATCACATGCTCACAGTGACTGCAGATGGCGCCGCAAATATCAGCAAATTGTAGAAATGTCACCAGCACTCCAGAAGCCTTTTAGGATAGCAAAAGATTCAATTATTGAAGTTCTTTGTCATATGAACAAGGGCTTCGGGACCACACATGGTCCCTTCATCAGGCTTTAGCATTGTCACTGCTAAAGCCTGATGAAGGGACCGTGTGTGGTCCCGAAAGCGCTTGTACATATGACAAAGAACTTCAATAAATGAAGCTTTTGTTATCCTAAAATGATTCTGGAGTGCTGGTGACATTTCTACAATATCCCAAAAGGCATCACATAACGCTGGGAGAAGGACATGGTATCACGTCATCAGAGGGCAAGGACCAGCCAGATTCTGATGATATAAGAAATTAAGTGAGGGATTGGGTATGTAACAACGGAGCGACAGATCATAGCACAACAAAGCTGGATTTGCTGGGTGTGCAAGTGTGTTTATGGAGGATAAAAGTTAAGTGAGGACTGAGGGGAAAAAAATTAAATGGGGCTGATGTGCCTCTTTAAGCCCTGATGTGAAACAATTCCTCTTACCTCATCATCAAAGTCTTCTGACCCAGAGCAAAACAAATTCTGGAGCCTTAAAGCCTAAAACAAGATGTAAAAAAAAAAAAAAGGTAGAGACATAAGTACATTATAAAAGTACATTCAGCATGAGCTGAGCTCCCTTCCTGGCATGTTGAATGTAGCTCAACTGACATGGAAATTGGCCTGCTGTCAGATGGGCGCTGTCAACAATCTACAGCATACGGATGACGTCTAGATGCTGAAATAGTGCTGCCTGTGGGTCGGTGTTCTACTTTAGTAAATGCTCTGTGATGCTTTGTACACTTAGTGGGTAAGGGATTCATTTTAAGCATACCTTGCTGAGAGGTGGGCTATTAGAACCCCAAGCAAGGTATATTCACCAATCGGTAGCAACTGTTGACCAGTTGCAGGTGTCCACCCTAGGGATGCTTTAGTTATGGATGTTATCGCAGCTTACCCACGTGGATGATGTCACTGCCCCTCCAACAAGACAGTATTCGCGTCTGGCATTTGACCACTCAGACTGAAGCACTGTCAAATTGGGGAGGTTACATGCTTCCCTATACCCAGAACCACCCCAATATTAGAGGGCAAACGAGCACAGGGCAGGCAAGTATGCCTTACTAGGCGGGTGGACTATCTACCCACCGACCGCTATGTCTCTAGAGGACACAGTAGTGACACGGAGGCCAGCGGATGGAACCACAGTGAGGGGCCCGACCATCCTATACTGCCGGAAGGGTGCATGATGCTGAAGATTTGAAGATTCTCCAGCTGCCATTGCTCAGAAGAAGTTGGTACCCTTTCTTTACAAACCTTTTAAATGGTGACAGTCGTTTTAAGAAAGGATTCCAGAATGTGTTTGAGAGGGGCGGACCTAGGTAGGGCTGCAGAGTGCCATGTCCGTGTTCAATAAAGTTGGATGATAAGCAGCTTCACTATTACATGGTCTGCTGCAGACCGTACATTACACTGAGGACCCATTTACACATCTGCATTGTGGTAACCCGCACGGTAATGCAAGTGGCATGGATTACTGCGTTGCCATTCACTTTGAATGACACCCCAGTGCACCAAGGCAACACACCTGTTGTAGCCAGTCCCAATTCACAGTAATGCATTGTGGTGATTTTACCACATTAGGGTGCAATGGCAGCCCATTCATTTTTTTCTAAACATTAGGGTAATGCAAATGTAAATGGTTTGTCAATGTTTCAGGTCAGGAGGCAAAGCCCAGCAGAGGTGACGATGTCCAAGAGTCTCCAGCCTCTATACACCACTTCTCACCCATCATTGGTGGGGGGATTTGGGGTTCACTAAGCCGCAGTAGGAAATATATGCTGAACACTCCCCGTTCACACTTTGCCGAATGAGGCCTGTTCAATTATACCCCCCCAGTGGTGAACAGACATGACACTTACACTCCTGCAGCCATACTGGGATTTGTAGTTCCACTGCATACTATTACTTACACTCCTCTGCAATACAGAAGACACATACAGGGAGACCTACAAGTCACTAATATACAGAGAGAATAAAGGGTCAGTTCACCATTTCTGTAACATAACAGCCGCACCAGCATACTCCTCACTGTCTCCGAGCGTTTCTAGCGTTGAACTCTCCAACACAACTTCCGGCACCCCACTTCCGGCATTTGGAACGCACATCGTTCCCGCAGTGCGATTCAAACCACTGGCGACAGGCCACGCCCCTGACCAAAGAGCGCCCTCTGCAGGAGAGACCTGGGAAATGTGGTGTAAACTATAGGAGGTGGAACCGCGACACTGCAAGGGAGTGCTATGGACGCCTGTGTCATGGTAAAGCTGAACTCTACGCAACATACACATATTAAATTAGCATTTTATTATTTAAGAATAATATATAAATATAATATAATTTATGTTACATTAAAAATGATTTGTATTTCTCTCCATTCATTGGTGTGATTTATACAGCTCTGCCACACGGCACACCCCTGTCTGGCAGGGATGGAGACCTGATATTTCTCTGCTGCAATTAAGCAACACTTACAGGTCTTATCCCTCCTCAAGCATGTGACTAGACAGCGAATGCAGAAGCATCTCATTTCTCCATCACTCTGCTCTCCCCTATCAGATTGTCCCTTGTTGGCACTTGAGCAGCACCAGAGGCATAACTAGAAACCTCAGGGCCCTGGGGCAAGAAACCATGAAGCAGTGGCGCCACGTGGGGGGTGCGGCCCGCTCTCGGGTGACACTATTGCAGGGGTGATACCAAAGTAACACCAAAATGACTGACAGTCATTTTGGTGTCACCCCCTCTAAAAAGTCGGGCATTCGGTCATGGACCGAGAGCCCGACAGTGTCAGGAGAGAGGAGGGGACCCGGCGGCATACCTCATCCTGCCGGTTAAACGTCCCCTCCTCTTTCTGCCGGCGTCCATCACCAAGGCAGGCGTCAATCAAATGACCACGAATGCGCAATGACGTCATGGCGGGGTGACGATGCAGCGTCGGGACGCCACGGGGTGGAGACCAGGTGACACCCGGCGTCGGGACGCCCCTGCCATGAAGGCCTTCACAACGCTGCACTATATTTACTAAGTTGACCTCCACTGTTTAAAGCAGGGGTGGGCAACTTCAGCCCTCCAACTGTGCTTTAAGTACAAATCCCAGCATGCCTCTGCCTCTGGGAGTCATGCCTCTGCCTCTGTCAGTCTTGCAATGCCTCATGGGAATTGTAGTGCCACAACAGCTGGAGGGCCAGAGGTGCCCACCCCCGGTTTAAAGGCTAATTCCACCATCTCATATTTAGGGTGTAGGATGGAATATGGCGCCATTCCCCAGCCCCCCACCCACCCTCAACTCGGCATGACGATGCAGCGTCGGGACGCCACGGGGTGGAGACCAGGTGACACCCGGCGTCGGGACGCCCCTGCCATGAAGGCCTTCACAACGCTGCACTATATTTACTAAGTTGACCTCCACTGTTTAAAGCAGGGGTGGGCAACTTCAGCCCTCCAACTGTGCTTTAAGTACAAATCCCAGCATGCCTCTGCCTCTGGGAGTCATGCCTCTGCCTCTGTCAGTCTTGCAATGCCTCATGGGAATTGTAGTGCCACAACAGCTGGAGGGCCAGAGGTGCCCACCCCCGGTTTAAAGGCTAATTCCACCATCTCATATTTAGGGTGTAGGATGGAATATGGCGCCATTCCCCAGCCCCCCACCCACCCTCAACTCGGCCACTTACCTGAATTGCGAGCAGGCTCCTGAGTACTTTTTAACTGGCTATGGATATCATCTATTCGTAGATCCAGTGACAAGATATATGAATAAACAAACTACAAGTCCCCTCTGCTACTGCAGCAGATAGACAAATATTATAGTTCTGATTGCAGTACATGTGGTGACATCAGCCCATTTGTAGTCCATCGATGACATCCTCCAGCCCAATAACAGAAGGTCTGTACCTATGTATGGACCTGGGGCTGGAGGAATAGTCTGCAGGAGCCTGGTCATTGCCGCCCATGATCCGCTGAACCTGAGTGCAATACTCTGCAGGCTCTGAAGCAAGTAATACGTTCACGCACATTTTTTCTTTTTGTTTTGTTTTTTTTCATAAGAGGAGACGTGACCCACCTTCCTTCACCGATATGAGGATGTAAAATAGGTTAGTCAGAAGGTGATAGCACTTGTGTCACATGACTCATTGTGATAGCATAACTCACGTATGGAAACACAGTGTTACCCATAGAAATATATTGCATTGTTCTCATGTATTGCAGGTAGGAATCGGAGAAGATGATTGGTGGCTATAGACCTTCATTGATGTACCGTAATCCATAGCAAGCAACCATGTTATAGCCATTGTGGCCGTGAGTTATTGCATTGATATAGCTGTATTATTTTTCTTGGATGGCTTTTAAAGTAGCTCAAAACCCTAAGGGTCACCATACTCCTTACAATCTGACCGTACAGTCTTCGTACAATCAACAAAAACTATGTAATAGGAGGGCCTACCTAATCCATCCAATTAATTTGTATCCAATCAGGGAGGTCCTTGCACTATATAGTTGTTGGTGAATATAAAGGAGATTGTACCATCAGATTCTAACATGCACGGTGAGCGTAAGGTCCCATTCACACCTTAAAGTTACATGGGACTTCCACCCAATCAGCTGTGGGTAAGGGTATTCCCCGACCCGCAGCTGACAATAAACCAAGGGGTGGAATGCTTGTGCTGACATCATTTACCTCAATGGCCATAATGGGCCAATGTCATCTACCTAATAGGGCCATGCAGCTATATAAGGTAAATGAGGTCACTGCATCCCATCCCTTTGCTTACACGCAGCTGCGGGTAGGGAATGGGTGATTGGGCAGCAGCAGAAGGAGTTCCCATCCAGGTTCGGATGGGGTTTGGTCTGAACCTGAGCTCACCCCCTACACTGTAGTAGCTGGTGCTACGTCAGTGCTGGCCCTGATCTTCCGTGTCCTGTATGCCGCTGTGCTGAGCAGTTTCCCCTCTGCTATCAAAATACATGGGGTAGCTCAGCACAGTGGCCATTCGGAGAACTACCACTCATCCAATCAGAGTGTGTATATGTGTGGGAGGCTGTGTCTGTGGTTGTGTGTGTCTGTCAGTGTTTTTGAGGGCCCGTTCACACTAGTACAGTGCGTTAATCGAACAGTCCTGTGCACTGTACCACACAATCGCACCTACTATGCGTTCTGGAGCAGGAGGTGCGTTGCCATTCAAATAGCACCTCAAACGCACATCCCGCGCACAGTTCAATCACCCGCACTGGAAAGCGCGGTACCGCAAAGCCGTGCGTTCCATCGCAGTGCGACTTGGGTCGCGACTTAATGACCAAGGACAAATGTGTGTCCTGAAATTGCGCAGGTTGAGAACCACTGCTATACAGGAACCAGAGAATGGTGGCCAGCACTGTAGTAGCTACTAAAGTGCTTTACAGAATATCCTCGGGCCAATCAGGTATGCCATATGCATTTACGTTGGGCCAAGCTGGACCAGCTTTAAAGGAGAACTATGAGGCGAGTGAAAATCACTCAGCCTCATAGTTCTAGCCGACGTGTGACAATGAAACTGTCACCCGTCGGCTCAATAGATCGGGAAGCGAGCGAACATATACCGGCGTTCGCTCACTTCTCGATCCTGTCCCTGCAGAGAGCCGTGACTGTCACTCACGGCTCCCTGCAGGGATTCCCCCCCTCCCCTGTCCGATTCTCCAACGCTGTAGCTTGCGGTATACTGAGCTTTGGGTGACGGGAGGACGCTAGTTTGTGTCCTCCCGTTACCCTTAGGAGAACTATGGGGAAAAACCCTAACCCCATAGTCCTCCTTTAAGCTGCAGCATGCTAGATTGACATGCAGTGCGATTAGACATGCTGCATTTTAATGCAGAGCATTGCAGATCACCGCAGCATTGTGATGTGAACAGAGAACATAGATAACAATTGTTTTCTAATGTACCCCAACATTAAGCCTATGGCGCAGATCAGCGCAGTTCATCGCTTATGATGTGATTGAGACCGAAAAGGTATTTCCTTTGAATTGTGTTTTTCCTGGAGTTCTGCTTTATGATAAGCCCGGGTGTGTTTTTCGGTGGAACGCAGACCTTTCCACTTCCAGAAACCAACACTAGAGTGCTCTGCAGGTTACAGAACGTCTAACAGACGGACATGAGATGTGATCATTGGGAAACTTTCAAGCCTGGCTGAATCCTCTATCCGGCAGTGTGAGAGGCTGACCCTGTGTTGTGAGTCACTCTCTGCAGTGAGTCAGAGAACAGCAGAGACCAACAAAAGCTCTGCTCAGGACATGAGGGGAATATGCAATGCAGTCAGCACACCACCGCTCTGCACAATAACCATGAATACAAATGGGATGTTTCCTGCTTTACAAACCGCCCCGCGCTGCTGTCATTGCAAGGGGAATGCAGCACAGCTTCATGTGCTCATAGGGATCAGCGATCTCTGTGGAGAGCCTATACCAGTTACATAGTATTTGAGGTTGAATAAAGACATTAGTCCATCAAGTCCAACCTATTAGGATCTCATTCTTAGGAGTACTTGTACCCCTGTATATTACGGTCCCTTAGGAAATCGTCCAAAATATACCAGAATGGATTAATGATAATCAATTCCATGAAAATGTATAATCCCAAGTTGTGCCAAACTCCCCTTGCAGTGATTTAGAGGGGTCCCCTATGTCCGCAGCACCCTGGTTTTCAGAACACTGTACTGCAGTTATAGATTTGGATCTCCACCTTCTGGTGAAGTCTGGCACTGGCCGAAACGTCGGTTTATTTGGATGTCTGTGACGCTTTCTGTCCAATAAAAGGGACATATTTATCTTTACTACTGAGTGCTGGTGATTTCCTGACTTTCCTGTGTTTGCACGGCGCATCCGTGGTAATTCATCACTGCGAGCACCACTTTTTTCTTATCTGGCCGGGACTGCTGTGGGGAGTGCGGAGGGTCTCTCCATCGACTTACATTGGCACTACAGCATGACTTTAGATCACTTATCCTGTAGGCCCTTTAGGGTGACAACACTACTCTCTCCCCATGTACGGATAAATACTTACCAAGTTGTGACGGGCTCGGCCTGTGGCTGCGCAGTGCATTCCCA